CAGTTTCATTCTTCTTTTTCGCCACTGCACACCTACAAAAATGTCACGGCTTATTATGCATTTTGCACTGTAACAGCAGTAAGAAAGCATGTCGCTAAGATCTTGTTATTGCGTGTGTTTATTCGGATTTTAGGTTATGAATCAGTGAATGCCCTCGTCGTTAATAATAATATTGCTGCAGAAATTCGCTTAAAAAAAACACATGATTGCATGGGCAGCGGTGGTGTGCCATCGCTAATTATTTTCTTAGTTTAACATCGAACTGGTGGGACTAATTTTGTCAAATTAAAAGTACGTAAACTTTTCAGACAGTGCTTTTGCACATAGCATCTGCAAACGTGAAGCACTGCGAGCCGCTTTGGAACCGATCAAACTAAGTTCTTTTTTTCAGTTTTCATTTTTTTTACTTGCAAAGTCTTACCCACGCCTGCTGACACCATCAGTTCTGCTACGATTCTGCGGCAGAAACCGACGCTTTGGGTAATCCATGCGCCCAACTACTTATTCAAAGAAGGATTGTAATTACAACGTCTAGGAAATTGTTTCTAAAGTAAGATCAAAGTGCTTCCTTGGCAATTCTATTCTGCATCCATTTCTGATATCGCCCACTTTGAATGTTGCTCTGGTCCAGGAAATGAGTTCTGGGTCGGCGATTACCGTTCACTTATCAAATTCGTCCAGCACCGACTTTATTATTTCCTAGAAATACAAGCACTGCTTTAGAACTTATTCGGATGTGTTCAAGTATGAAGCTTGTGTCCGATCACAGCTTGAGACGAATGAACAGTGGAAGGACAAAATTGCTGTCTTGCCAAAAGGCAAATCATGGGCACGAGACGGATGGCTAACTGGTTCTAAATGGTGCGAGAAAGATTTCATCTTTCATGGATGGCAAAAAAGGTTTGATTTCTTGAAAAATAACATGCATATGATTCAGGTCCGAGTGCTTCTCACGTAGGGGCACGTGAAATTTTTTTTTGGCAGGAAAGCGTTTTCTAGAATGGCGAAGGTTAGGAAGCTGGATGTTCACGAAGATGTTCCTTGGCCGCTTCTAATCCAAAGATTTCAAATTTAGCCTTCAAGTACCTCTAGGTCTCACGTACTCACGCGTCAAAACTGGCATCATGCTAACTCCAGACTGAAGCTGAAATGGCAGTTTTAGGGAGCTGCGACTTTGCAGAGTTACTTGTCACCCATTGTTGCGCCTGTGAAAGTAAAAGGGGCTTTCCAGCCCTTTTGCATCTCACGTACCGGCAATTGTAAATTTCACGCATGAACTTCTTTAGAACTGAAGCAGCTAGAGGACTGGAAATTTCTAAGCATAGCCGACGGTGGTCTCGCCAGATGAACACTAAAACGATTGCACATCAATTCCATGCCTCACGTGGATCTCGCCCACGAACACGTGAAATCTGACGTAACCCCACAACCAAAGCAGCAAGAGTGCTGAAAGTTTCTGAGCGCTGCCTAGGACCGTATTTGAGTAATCGCACGCGAAGACAGCACTCATTTTGCCACTCACGTACGAACACTTGGAATTTAACGTAACTCCACAAGCGAAGCATCTAGAGCGTTGAGTTTTTTGGGCATGGTTTGGGAGGTCATTGTAATATTTTCTAACTGTCGTGGTGGCTACTCTAAATTCTCTTAGCCAGAAACATTTGCCAAAAAAAAACAGTGCCGTTAGCAACAAAAACCTGCGAGGAAACTGCGAAAAAAAAAAACGCATCTTCGTACTGGCAGCCGGTGCGCCTCCGACTAAAATTAAATACTTTGGTTGGGAATCCGTACAGAATTAAAAATCCTAGGACAAAGTTC